TTTTATGGCTTCTCTTGGTGCCCCTTTTGAAGTATGTGTAAACTCCCCCAAAAAGCAAACAAATGAGAAACAAAACGAGCCTCTCCAAGCCCTCCAGCACTGAGCGGGACACACTGTTCCATTCATACTAATAAAGTCTACAGTGTGAGCTGCTTTCAAATTAGCTTGTTCCCTGTGAGATCCAACTTCTTTTTTTTTTTTTTTTTTTTAGACAGAGCCTCAAGCTTTCCCTCTGGGTAGAGTGCTGTGGCATCACAGCTCACAGCAACCTCCAACTCCTGGGCTCAAGCGAGTCTCCTGCCTCAGCCTCCCAAGTAGCTGGGACCACAGGTGCCTGCCACAACGCCCAGCTATTTTTTGGTTGCAGCCATCATTGTTGTTTGGTGGGCCCGGGCTGGATTCGAACCCACCACCTTAGGTGTATGTGGCTGGAGCCTTAGCTGTTTGAGTCACAGGCGCCGAGCCGAGATCCAACTTCTAATGTGCTGCTGCTTCTAAGGGAACCTCCCCTGCTTCACCCACCTCGCCTGAGACCCCCTCACATGCTCAGCCTCATACCTCATGTGTGTATGTGCCTTGTCGGCCCCTCATTCTGAAAATCCTCTTCCATAAGTGTACTGAGTAAAGCCTCGGCACCAATAGAATGCTCCAGGGCAAGCCACACGTGGAGCAGCCATTGCTGCTCACAAATCCAACTGAGGTGATTGCAAAAGCAAATAAGAAACATTCCAGACATGGATCCGTGCTTGTAGCTCAAGTGGCTATGGCACCAGCCACATATACCAGAGCTGGCGGGTTTGAATCCAGCCCTGGCCTGGCAAACAACAATAGACAAAAAATAGCCAGGCATTGTGCTGGGTGCCAAGTCTCAGCTACTTGGGAGGCTGAGGCAAGAGAATCACGTAAGCCCAGGAGTTGGAGGTTGCTTTAAGCTGTGATGCCACAGCACTCTACCAGGACAATAGCTTGAGGCTCTGTCTCAAAAAAAAAAAAAAAGAAAAAGAATAATTCCAGACACGGGGGCTGACATCCTCACAGACTCGCAGGCTTTTACGTACTGCCCAGTGTGCTCCCTGATGGTGGCAGGACAGATTCAGCAGAGAAATTCAACCCTACATGTAGAAAATAGGGGCCCCTGTCCCATAAGGACAAGAGAAAACTGTCCACTGTGATGCCTGTCCGTCTACCACATGCTGGCCCGTCCACAGGAGGCCACTGGGCAGCTGGCTGTCAGTGCTCAGGAACCATGGGCATCCCGAGAGACACAAAGAGGCCTCGGTCATCAGGAAGCCAGGCTCAGCACATGAAGCGTGAGAGCAAACACTTCCGGGCCCATCACTTCCCAGCACGTCCACACTGATTCAGGACAAAGAAGCCCGTGGGTCTGGATGACAGTGGGCCTGTGACAGGCAGGGCGTGAGCTCACACTTAACAGTTTTACAAAGGTTTTTCTGATTGTTTTGAATTGTTTCATGCCCACTATTTGCTCATTTATCTTGACAACATCCTATCAGAAAGGCAGACTAAAAAATCAAGAGGAGGGGTGGGAACAGAAACCTCGGCTGCACCATGAGGCTGGCTATGGCCCTTGTCCTCAGGACATGGACCCAGCTCTCTGGCTGCTGCTTACTTCCTCAACCCTTACCTGGTCCTCCTCCTCGACCCTCTGCTGGTCCTTCTCCTCAATCCTCTACTAGCCCTTCTCCTCAATCCTCTACTGGCCCTTCTCCTCAACCCTCTCCTGGTCCTTCTCCT